GATGCAATGTTTCGTAAACTGATGTGATGCCTTCATCAGGCAAAACAGTGTCACTGTTCTGCCGGATGAAGGGACCACATGAGGTTCCGAAACATGCCATGTTTATCTGACGTCAAATAAAGACGGAGCGATAAAGTGGACTAGGGCTGCAACAACTAATCGACATAATCGATTATAATCGATTATTGAAAAAGTTGTCAACTTTTTCAATCGATTAATCGGCTTCCGATCAGTTGGCCCTGTTCACGGCTCCACACACGCTGCGCGCCGCACCTTTTCCCCACCTCACGCTCTCCGCTGCCAGACCCGCCCGCATCCACACCGCACCTCCTCCCCGCCCGCCCACATCCACGATTGGCACAGGGACGCGGGGAGATGTAGTAAGGAGGAGCAGGTGTGGGGGGATGACAGCCGCTGATAGACAGGTCCGATCTCAGAAGCAAGTTGCTGGAAGACTGCTCAGGTAAGCCTGCACTTCCCACACATGGTGCTCTGTAATGTATTGCTGGGATTTGTATTCCTCTATAGCTTATGGTACATAGGAATACACATACAGTGCAGTGCAGAATGGTGATATTCTGCACTGCACTGTATAGAGGACTACAAATCCCAGCAATAGTACATTATACAGCGCAATGCAGAATACCACCAGCTATAATGTACTATTGCTGGGATTTGTAAGCAAGAAAACAAAAGCCTGCGCATTGTACGTGCACATTTTATTAAAGGACTAACAGTAGAACTCTGGCATTTTAAAATTGCTTCCCCCAACAATTTTCGAAGTTCCTTTAATACACACCATTTATCCTTGGGTCTTCCTCGGGAGGTTTATCCATGAGAATGACTGCCATTCAACCAATAGGAGGCTCAGCAGCTGAGTGGATTTTATAGGTCAGCACTGGGAGAAGGTGAGTATTTGTAGCAAGAGTTTCTTCTTTTTTTTTCTATTTATGACATGCGCTCTATATTTAGCATTTTGGGAAACTGAGTTCACATTTAAGCTATCAGCTTTGTATCTCCTTTGAGGGAAGTTTTGTACCCACTGATGGGAAAAACAGGTCTTTCTTTTTCCCGTCAAACTTTCTAATGACTCAGAATTGTGCAATTTTTTGTTTTGCAGTGAGAAGATGATTGCAAAATCTGTAACAAAAAAGCTGTTAAATAGATAGAGCTGTTAAACAAGAAGTGTCAGAAAGCTAGTGAAGATTGCTACATCAGAAGTACATAATCCCATTTCTCTGATGCGCTGACATTTAGTCACTTTTTACTGTGCTAAGATTAATGAAAATAATGCAGAAGCTTTGTATACACAACCATGAGTTATTATTATTACATAGTATTTGTATAGCGCCAACAGTTTGCGCAGCGCTTTACAATATAAGGAAGATATTACAATCGCAATACAATTCAAGACAGGATGGTAAGGAGGGCCCTGCCCGTGAGGGCTTACAATCTAAAAGAGGAGGGGGAAATGATACATGAGGAGGTAGCTGTGTGGGGATGAATTATTTGAGAATGTGATGGTTCAGTGGTTAGGTTGAGGTGAGATAGCCTTCCCTGAAGAGATGAGTCTTTAGGGAATGCCTAAAGGCAGTCAAGGTGGTAGATAGACGAACAGGTTGGGGGTAAAGAGTTCCAGAGGATGGGAGAGACTCTAGAGGAGTCTTGGAGGCGAGTATGGGAGAAGTGGACAAGAGAGCTGGAAAGCAGGAGGTCTTGGGAAGAGCTGTTTCTAAAAATTATCTTTCTTAGAATGAGAACTATGAGTTGCCTCATTCTATCCTGTTGGTGCCTTTCTGCTGCCTCAGCCCATTGCAACAGCCTCCTAAAAGCCAGCGCAGTTACACACTTTCTTAACTTATATGTATAGAATTCGGTGTGTACCACCGTGTGATATACTCTTTTCCCAGTGCTCCCCCACCACTCCATCTACTGTGGTCAATACTCGAGACTTCTGGGTGTGGGGGAGCTTGTGACCTCCTCCCATGATGCAGTGCTCAAGCCTAGCAGCCAGTTTGGCATGCGTACAGATATGCATATATGTGCTAGTGCAAGTGACCAGCCGGTTTAACCAGATCAGTCTTTTATACCCTCCGAATGGTTTCTCAGCACAGAAAAAAAATCCTCATGATATGCCTTACCCAAGCACATCATTTAGTCTGATTGTTTTGTTCAGATAATTTTTTGGGGGGATTTTAAGTTTATCCTTAGCAGCTTAGTTTCCTTAAAGTTGGTTCTTAAGTACTCAGTTGCTCAGGTACTCTTGTGTTCTTACAATCAGTAAATCTGTAGCTGCTGTAGACCCTGTGGAACATCCTCAACGTTTATAGCCTACTGAAGACTACAAGTCACCATTTCCAGAAAGGTCTACTGTTGCAACCCTGTCACGGTCTCACTCCCAATGGGCACTTTTTCACACATTGCACAGATGCAGTTCACCGTTTAGGAAACCTGTCTTGAGAAATGACAAGCAGCAGTTGCTGGAGTGCATGTATGTAGACAAAACGCTACAAAGAGGCTGAAGGCAATAACCAGCGCTTTTAAGCAACCAGGGATGAAAAAAGTACTTTTTTCATTTTGATACCCAACTGTGCTTGCTGTATTTTTCTTGAAGACATTTCACTGGCCATCCGACTAGCTTTCTCAATTCTGATGACCTGCGAAACGTTTTCAAGAAGAATACAGCAAGTCCAGTTGCCTTGATTTATTTTTTAAAGATTTATGACCTGGATGAATGAGAACCTTCACAGATGTTTGATGTGGAGTACTTTAGAAAACAAATTGTCATTCAGTTAGGGTTTATATCCACTTAGAAATATTTTAGGCCAGGCAAGATTTACTTTTAAGGTATCAAAAATGTTAAAGCGCAGACACTTTTCAGTGCCTACAAGCACCTATGTTATTCCTCAAATCACTGCCTGTAACCTACTAAGATTCTAGGCACTGGTTGTACATGGTGACTTAACCTCAGTCCATAAAGCCTGAAATTCTGTTTACTTGTTTGTTATGCCGACCCATTGGCTTCACTAGTGTGATTCACTGACCCCAGAGTAAGTATGTATATCAGGAAAGTCCAAGTGAAGTGAGGTTTTTAAATGCATGCTTGTTCTGGTATAGTTATTGAAAGTATACAGCCAGTATGAAACTTGGGGAATATGATAAAGCAGTACATAAGTGGAGGTGATCTTCGGTGAAAACTAGAGGTGCACTCCAATGAAATTTTCTGACCGAAAATAAAAAAATTGTCAGGCCGAAACCAAAAATCTTTTTTTCTTACCTTTTTTAAAAAAAAAATTACATTGTTTTATTTTTTATATATTTTTATTTGTTTTTGTATTTCAACTTTACTGTTGATATTTCCTTTTAAAATAGAAACAGATTGAGGACACAGAGTCCTCAATCTCTTTGTCGGCTGCCCCTGTTATGCATGAACAAGAAGACTGTATACTGAGTGGTCCTGTTCATTCATAACTCTACAATCATGAATGAGCAGGAAGTGATGTAGAGCACTTCTTGTTCATTCATAATTGGGGCACAGTAAACATACTATCTCCGTTATTTACAAACACTCAGCAATCGGTGGTTGTCTGTATACCACTCTCCATCATGACTCATGCAGCTTTCACAGGAGGCTGAGCCAGTGGTGTGGGGAGGAGAGCTCGCCCACATTTGACAGCTGTCTCCGCCCCCACACTGCTCTCCATCCTGATCTGTCACAGTAGGCTAAGCGGGCGGTGCTGGAGGAGAGCTCAACTCCTGTGACATTGCGGCTCACATTGCTCTCTTCCCCGCCCCCCTCGGCCTCCTGGCCATTTCTTTCCTCCCCGCTGGACACTTCTCTGTGTCAGTGCAGACATAGAGTAGCACACAATGGGGAGGAGAGAAACTGTGGATTCACTGCAATTTCGGCCAAAAGTTAGTACTTTCTGCCATTTGCCATTTTCGTCCGATATGTTTTGTCGGCCGAAATTTCGGTGCATCCGTAGTGAAAACCTCTTCAGGATGATCAGCAGATGAGTAGACTGAAGTTCTATGCAAATTTCAGTTGTAAAGGTTTGGCTTGGCCTCGGTTCCAGATAATTTCTACTGGCACTTTTTATAAGATGGGACCAATATGGATATAAAGTTATATGCAAACCTCAATTGTGGAAATTAGCATTTTTTTATTTCTAGATGCAGTTGTCATTTCACGGAGTATAACTACAGCATTATTTCATCATATGTAAATGTTAAATGCTCAGGTTTATGACAGGTTTACTTGTGGTGAGTAGTAAACTCTCCACCTGAAACAGCCAATCTGACTGATGTACCTCATACTGACTGATGTACCTGCAATGACACTAAACTTAGTCAGCCATTTTCCTGGGGCTAATATACAGCACCTTAGTCAAACGGCATCTTCGGTGTGAGTTTTATCACATAGGTGATTTTTTTTTTGCTACTTGTCCTTTAAAGGGGTTCTAAACCCTCCTGTTTTTTGCCTATATCTACTGCTATCAGGCAGTAGATATAGGCAAACAGTTTAAAAAAAAACCTGCTATAACAGCGGTTTAAACTTACCTTTTTTTCTTTGCGCGCTCCCGCCCGAGAAAACAAAACTGTTGGGCGGTCGCAAAGCATCTTGGGGCAGGTGCATGCGCAGTTTGGCTTCTCGGCCGGGAGACGAGCAGAGACGTAAGGTAAGTCTACGGACGCGTGCACCCGCCTGCAGACACCGCTGGATCGGAAGTGCCTGCAAGCAGAGAGGAGTCAGCGCTGGATCGGAGAGCCGCCGCACCGCTGGAGGGACAGATGAAAACATCAGAGAAGATCGGATTAAGAGACATCATTTAAGGTAAGTGCTAACATTAACATTGGGGGAAGGGAAAACATTTTTTATCCTTTAATCTCATTTTAACAGCAGATACATTATAAAAAAATTCGTCTTGACTCTATTGTATTTTTCATTTGGCATGGTTAACCTGAACTCTTCTATAATATTACCTTTTTAATTCCTTTAGCTCTTAGATGTCTGTGCACTAGCTGCATCAAATCGAACAACACATGTGAGACAGATGGAGCCTGTATGGTCTCAATCGCCAACATTGATGGAATGAAGCATCAAATGCGAGCATGCATTTCTAAGAGTGAACTCGTCCCTGCAGGAAAACCATTCTACTGTCTAAGTTCAGAAGACATCCGCAACACCGAATGCTGCTACACAGACGACTGCAACAGCAAGGACCTCCTGGTGCCCAGTGGTATGAATTTAATTGTCATATCTTTGATTTTTCTGTCTGCCCATCTGCCTTTATTGGGGGTCTCGGTTTCCCTGTTTTGCGGGTTTTTTTTATACTTCCATGGAGCAGGAGCAAAGATATTTGTTCTGATGTAAGAAGGGAGCTTCCAGACTCCATAGGGATGATATGCAGAGCCAGCAATTCGGGCAAAAAGATCTCTCTGCCACAGTTCCTAAGAGATATAAACTGACAGGAAGTAATTAAAAACAGGTCCACCCATACCTGAAGCTTTTTCTGGTCTGATTCTTTGTACTGCTTTAAATGACATCCATAATGCCCCATGCACACTTGAGCTGATCATCTTGGGTCACTTTCTGTGTGTATTTTTACAGACATTTTGCCTGCATTTCAGGCTTGTATTTTAAACAATCAAAAGCTACTTAGTAGGCATGACAAATGTGCATCTTTGCGCTTTTTGTAGGCATTCCCATTGAAGTCTATTGGGACCAAAACTCTCAGCTCTGCCCCCAAAAAAGCTCATGTACTTTTTCGAGCTTCAGGCATTTTGCTGCAAGCAACAGAATGCTCAAATGTGAACAGGGACCATTGATAACAGGATTCCTCCTGTGGAGCATTATAGTGCTTAGGCATTTGAGCTACAGAATGCCTTGGTGTAAATGGAACAGCACAGACAGCTCAGACCCATCTGTTTCATCTAGTTTCCATAGATGGATTCATGGTATTGCTAGGAAGAGATTGAACATGTTAAACCTACCCCTTACACATCTGATGATGACTGATTTATTACTATGTTTGCATGCAGGACAAAGATAGCTGTTGACCACAAGGCCATTTTAATTTAGATCTGGCCATTCAGTATGAATACCTGCGGACTGTGTGTTTCAGGTCTGGTCAGGCTGAGCAATCATATCAATACATATTTGGTCACCATTAGGGATGCAGGATCTACTCATGCTGAATCATAAGGAATACATTTCTCACATGTAATTTCCCTTTACTTGTAATGGAAAGCCACGATAAGGCAGAACAATGTGTTTCCCGTATTTATGTGATAAATTACTTTTCTTTTGGCATAAATGTATTTTATGGTTTCATATGGTATTTCGTAATTACTGTGTTTCTCCAAAGTAATTCTCTTTAGAAAATTATAAAGTAAATATCATATGGGGTAACAATGAAGATATTTGGTTAGAGCAATATTTGTAAAACTTGGAAAAAGGAAATCTTGCAGTTGCCCATAGCAACCATGGCTGGATCCTGCATCCTCTCACACCAGTCCATCTCCCTCCTTTTAACTAGTGCTGCTGGTAAGGAATAGAGTTCAGATGGCATCAGGTACCTGAAACATGACCTCCCTTTTTCAAGAGCTGTGTTGCTATACATCAGAGAGATTACATTTCAAGCATAGAAACAATAGGAAGCCTCACTTTTGTCCAACTACATAATACACAAGGCACCACGTAATTGTTTTGTATACAGCTGGCAATTTTGTTTGTAATTTATTTTGCAAATGTTCTGAGCAATAACTGTGTTCTGTTGTCACATTCAAGTAATAAGACTTTTAAAAAGCAATGGACTGTATCCGCATATCTTATTGTAAGCCTTTTTATAGTTATTACCTCCATTTCATGCCATCAGAGTTTTGTGTGTTTATTTAGACTTCTCGTTATGTCTTTATTTTTATTTCTGTAGGCTATACAAAAGATGATCCTCCATCAGGCTGGGGCCCAGTGGAACTTGTGGCTGTCATAGCTGGCCCGATGTTTCTCCTAGGTGTTATCCTTATCGTGGTGGTCCTGTTCCACTGTCATCAGCGAGTTTATCACAACCGGCAGAGACTGGACTTGGAGGATCCATCATGTGAAATGTATCTGGCTAAAGATAAAACTCTTCCAGATTTAATCTATGACCTGTCTACATCAGGTTCTGGCTCAGGTAAAGCCCATTGTAACAGTGATATGGTATAAAGTGTGACGGGGTTAAATGTATATCTGTTGACCTAGAATTGTAATCTAATCGTGCAAATGAAGACTTGTTAAAGCCCAAGCTAGGGTTGGTGTGGACGGTAATTGATTAATGTTTTTATGTGCATACTAATTAAGTTACAGAACAGGTTTATTCAGGATTATATGTAGCTATCCAAGGATTAATGTAGCACCTAAGAACCTTGGGAACATTTATAGGCCATGCTGTATAAACTATTTAATGGAGTGTGGGTTGTGGCCATGTGTTTGTTCTGACGTATTTTGGATATGATTGGGTTCAACACATTATTCGTACATAACATTGTGGGTTGCCAACTATTCTGATATACTAGGGTAAACCTCTGTGTGCTACTGCTAATTTTTTTTTTAGCTGGCACTAAGGCTGGGTTCACACTTGGGCGTTCGTAATTTGAGTGTTTGACACGCGTTTCGGGCCGTCAGTTTTTACCGCGATTTGCGGTCAACGAAATGAGTGACAAACGCGCGTTTACGAGTGCTATCCGGCTGTATCCTAATGGATACGCGCGGAAATACGCCCCAAAGAAGCTCCTGTACTTCTTTGGGCGTAGGGCGTTTTTCAGCGCGTTCCTACGCGCTGAAATACTCACAGCTGGGAACCATGCCCAAAGGAAATAATGGGCGTTTTACATCGCGCCGATCAGCGGTGTAAAACGCCCAGGTGTGAACCAGGCCTAAAAAACCCTTTAATACCCAAGGTATATTGTAATTGTGCATAAGTTCACTGTGTTTAGGATGGAACTTAATAGCTGGGAGTAGGTCTGCTTGTTGCATACGCTTGCTCTAGAGCTACAGTGACTTGACAAGCCTAACGGCCTGTGAAAGCACAGAAAGCCAAATTACATTAGCAATAAACTCAATTAAGCTCTGTGTATAAAACGGGACATGACATAACCTAACCCCCTGTTGCTTTTTTGTTGCCTGATACCACACATTTCAATATGTTCTTCCAAATGGCTTTCTGGGATATATGCTTCCATGAAAGCTCAGTCAGGGGTTACATTACATGTAATATTATAACGTAAAACAACGCAATCTCTATGTAACGTGTAGAACACCCTTCCCTCCAGGTAGTTATTAGAAATAAACATATTTTAAAATACAGCTCACTAACTACCCACAATTTTTTCTTTACATTTTCCAGTCACTTGACTATAAATAGGAGGCTGTGAACCGTGCACTAGTTAGACGCTAAGGCATTGCACATTGCTCTTAACCTAATATGTTTTCAGGCATTGGGAGATGGAAAGTTGTCTAGGCTGCTTTCAGAAGGATTGCACGGGACCATTTCAGTTTTATTTTAGTCTGCCAAGCAGGCCTGTAGCTTCTCGAGTCATCTCATTGGCTCCAGTATGTGAATTTGTTATGAATTGGCATCACCATTCTGGTGAGTTTCTACCCATGCTCTCTTCTGTGTCCATATAAATACTGCCTCTTCCATTTGCACTGCTTGAGACATGTACGAACTGCAGCAAAAGAGCATGACTAGCTCAGTGTACGACCTTCCACTCTGATTTATGGTGCACAGGGTATGAGATTTTAATGTAAAAAAATTCAGAAAGGTAGACAAGCAATATTTAAATAAGAATTCAACGAATACATAACTGGACTTGAGCTACTCTTTAATCAGCTGTAAATAAGGTTTACAGGTGAAACTCAAATAATTAGAATATCGTGCAAAAGTAATTGCAGTAATTTCTGCAAAAGGGGCCCAAACCAAGTACTGAGTACATATGCATGCTTGTACTTTTCAGAGGTCCGATATTGTTCTATGTACAATCCTTGTTTTTTATTGATTGCATGTAATCTACTTTTTTGAGATTGTGGATTTGGGGTTCTTGGGGTTTTCATTGCTGTAAGCCATAATCATCACAATTATGACAAATCA